CTCAGCAGGGGCAAGGAAGCCCCTTTGCTGCCAGAAGAAGGCAGCGGTGGCGGCAAGGACTTCGGCTGGGCAGTTGCCAAAAATGAGCGCCGCCGCATGGAGGACGCTGTAGATGTCAAAGACGATGTTGCAGGGTTCCGCATGTTTACCGTCTACGACGGTCATGCAGGAGATGAGGCAGTGACTGTGGTCAAGAAGATCCTGCCTGACATCCTGGAAACTCATCTTGAGAAAGACGGTGATGTGGAAAAGGCTATCTGCCTGGCCTTCAGGCACATTGATGAAGAGCTCGCACGGACGCTCTTGTCTGCAGCTGACACGCCCACGAAGGTGAAGATTTCATCCGGCACAGTCGCATGCATGGCGCTGATGAAGGGCAAAGACCTATGGGTGTGCAACCTCGGCGATTGCCGCGCCGTTCTCTGCACGGGTGGCACCAAGGCTCATGCTGTCTCCAAGGACCATGCGCCAGACAAAAATGCAGCTGAAGCCGAACGGCTTCGGACCCTCGGGGTTCACGTGAACGGCGGCTACGTTGGAGATCACGTAGCCGTCTCACGTGCGTTTGGCAATGTCGAGTATGACAGCAGCGAGAAGGTCGCGGGCATCATCAGTGAGCCCGACGTCTTCAAGATTGAGGTGGATGACGAGGTCGACTTTCTTATCCTGGCGTCCGATGGCGTATGGGATCCGCTGAAGGACCAATTCGCGGTCACGCACGCAAGAAAAGCTCTACGAACCACTGAGCAGCCAGAAGATGCTGCGAAAGCCGTCGTCGAAAATGCGGCCAAGGTCAGCGCAGCTGACAATGCTGCCGCCATTGTTGTGGTTTTTAAGTTTCCAGAGCCCTTGCCGAAGCGCATTTCAAGGCCACGTGCGACTCTCCCAGGCTTGGACGAGCCTCCGCCATAGGTCCGAGACGGACATCGAATTAGATGCACCCAGTATTGATTCTCAAGAGGACTTTGAAGCTAGTCGTCTGAAAAGGGTTCGCTGAAGAGAGCGGCTGTCTGCATCATACCCTGTGAGCACACGCCACATCGTCAAGAATACTTGAGAGAGTCTGGTCTACAGGCTATTCGTCCCTAACTCTCTTTAACCATGTATTATGGGAGCCTCCGAGACTGAGATGTCTGTTCTTCATGACCCCTTTAGAATTAGAGAGTGAGCCATCCCAGAATCCTTCTTCAACCATTAAGGCCCTACACCCTGGACCCACGTTTGTGTTTTAGATGGGGGTACTATAGGCCCTCGTATAAAGTAAGATCATATCATATCCTCCTTTTGGCTATCGTGTTGTATAAGGAGAATATACTCTAAGTCCGAAACCCTAAACCCTAAACCGCCATTAGCCCTAAACGAGAGGTGCCTGGTTGGATGGGCCACGGCCACGCTCCCAGCCACGCCCACGCCTCGTTCACTGCGGCACCTCCAGGCACCCATATTCGTTTAGGGTTTAGGGTTTAGGGTTTAGGGTTTAGGGTGGTCTTCCCAAAAATTGGGAGTACCTCTTTGGGGGTCCCCATAATCATGATTATGATAGGTTGGGGTCTTTATCAGGATCCCCCAACTGATGAGAACTATCATGCAAATTATATCATACCCTTCATTTGCAACATGCTCTGTGATGTTATCTTCTATGCTGTATGAACTGGTTACATTATCTTATCTTACAGGATGGGAATTCTCAATTTCAGGCTTGGGTTTTTGGGTTTGAGGCTAAGATTCCTCAAGCCAAGGAGACCTTAGGGGTGCAAGGATGCATGTGGATTCCAAAGTGAGAACAGGGGTGCCTTCTTTTGGGAACCTTCCATTGCCCTACTTATGCAAAAAGCCCAATGTAGGTCATGTCCACAGACTCTAGGGCCCAATATAAGTATTATTTGTATACTTGGAGCCTCATATAACCCCAGTTTCCATTTCATTTTCCATGTAACCCCTATAAAGCCTCAGTTTCCTTGTCATGTTCCATGTTCTTTTCCATTTGATTCTCCATTAGTGTGGTATATCAGCCCTAAGCCCTAAACACTAAACTCTAAACCCTAAACACCAAGCTCCAAACCCTTAACCCTAGACCCTAAACCCTACATACTCTTATTCTAGTAACCCTAAACCCTAGACCCCAGACCCTAAGCACAGAACCCTAAACCCTTGTGGCAGCTCGGGCCCACAGCATTTTGTCGGAATGCTTGCGCGTGGTTCTGAAGGGGGGCTTTATGGGTTCTTACTCATCAGTGTAGCCTCTTGGGGTGTAGTAGGAGATTTAGGATTTAGGGTTTAGGGTTCAGGGTTTAGGTTTCAGGTTTTATGGTTTAGGAGATTTAGGGTCCAGGGTTCAGGGTTTGAGGATTTGTTTTAGGATTCAGGATCCGATGCAAGAGATGCCGGACATCCTCTAAGATAACTAATGCCCTAAGCCCTAAACCCTGTTTAGGGATTGGGGTTTAGGGATTAGGGTTTAGGGTTAGGGTTTAGGGATTAGGGTTTAGGGTTCAGGGTTTAGGGCTTAGGTTGAACCCAATACAACCACAAAGCCTCTACCTATATAGCGGCCTAGGGATTATTCAGGGGGATACTCGGAGTTTAGACTATAGCTCATATGATCGTCACAGGCTTCCTAATTTCGGGTGTTTGGGTAGCAACGATCCTCTTATCACCGCTATCCCTGGACTTCCCTTACGTCCTTCCCGTTAGGAGTCGGCGGCTATGCCGCTCCTCCACCTGCGGCGTGTCACCAGTAGACGCCCTAGACTGTTGACGCTGGCAGGCAGGGGTTTAACAATTGAGTGTTACTGGCAGCGTTTGTGTATAAATCTCTGTTTCGGGAAAAAGTGTGGAGTAGAGTATAGTGATTTGAGTAGGGATTGTTGGAGAAGGTCTTGGGAGTCGCAGGAGACTACTTGCTTTCGTAGCAGCAGGAGCATGTCCTGTGTAAGAATCCCATATGCTGGTAAGTTGAACCTAAAACCAGGGATCCAAGTACACAAAAAGTACTTACATTGGGACCTAAAGTCTGTTGGTATTACCTACATTGGGCTATTTGGATCCCTACACCCNNAACCCTAGACCCCTAAACCCAAAGGATCCCTAGAGTAAGGTCAGGAGTGATACTGGCAGAGGGTGCGTGTACAGGCACATTGCCTTGGCAAACGAGTTGGGCTTGGAGCCTCCAAGGTCCAATAGGGTTTAGGGTTTAGG